ATTGTCTCTTGTTTGCAAGTGATACATAATGTGGAAAGTTGCTATAAGAAGGCTATTTTTAATGGTATCGATGTGGTAGCTGTTAAGACATAGTTTTGTAATTATCAGTTGTGAAAGATCAGATCCACATATGGATATTAAATTAAACTAATGTATTGCTACTCATACTTATGCACAGGAATATTCTCAACTAACAGCCTTGCTAGGAATTAGATAAGGGTCAACAGAATTCAAGAGGGGTTGGATTTCGCTTCCTTGTGGTTATGTGGAGATTCTAGGCTGATCCCTCTTTTAACTCCACTCCCCCAGGTTCTGCCACTCCTTCGCCTATAGTAATAATGATAAAACATCAAAGAACAACATCTGTCTAGCCCAGGTCCTTGTGAAGGACTCGATAGGTGGACAAAAAAAAAAGCCAAATCCAGTCTAATCACGTGGCTGACCGTGCCAAAAACTGTAACAATAATATAGAATTCAAGTTTTTTTTAAAAGATATCCAATTACATATGTATTGAGGAAGGACAATTTTGTTTGTGGAATAATCCATTTTCTGCTTACGTGTTCTCTGATCTTGAGCATGTGTATTTGGAACTGGATCCTGACGGATTTCAGTAAAACTTCAACTAGAAATGTTCAGCTTTTATTGTTTAATTTCACAATCTTCTGGAATATTACAGGGATCGTTAATAATGGCATCTTTGGATAGAATGACACTATTTGATACAGCCTAGAGAAAAGATAGCCATAGGCTAGTGAGACTCCCTGTGCCTGCTGATTTGGAAAGAGAATTAAACAGTAAAAAAAAATCAAACTTTTTTTTCCTATTCTGTCTTTGACCTGAAAGAACTCTGAACTAATTAAGACGAAAAGCTTTGCATATGGAAGAAGGAACTCATTTGTGCTAATATGTTTAGAACCAGAGATTCACTTTCTAATCACCTGGGCATATTTCGGTTATCAGTTCAGAAAACAGCCTCTTTGCCAGTTCACAGAAGGATCATAAGCAACAGACTGAGAAAATTGCTTCCTTAGGAACCTAGGAGATAAATTGAATTCAAAAGGAGGTAAACAATCCATTCTTGAGTTCTCCTGAAGATTGCACACATACTTACCACTGAGAGATTGAGTAAAACTCCTTAAAATTTGGCAACTTTTTTTTTTAAAAAAACCCTCTCGTTGTAATTTGGGGGAGCTTGTAGCTACTTAGGGGGTGCCTTAACTTATTGGTTGCCAACACTTGCTTTGCACCAGTTTCCCAACCTTGGACACTAAGATGTGTGGACTTCAGCTCCCTTAATTCCTCAGCCAGAAAGGAAGATCTGGAAATCGAAATCCGTTCATCTTAAACTTGTTAAGGTTGGAAAACCCTGCTCTATACCATTGCGTTTCTTTTAGCACTTCTCAATAATTCCCTATACTTTTTTTTCTGTTTAATTTTTTTTTCTTCTGAGAAAATGTCCAGTTTAATTCTTTGTATCACATGGGTATCTAACCTTTTGGCTTGCCTGGAAACAAATAAATACGAACACCAGGATAATATCAAACTAGAAATCGTTTAATAAAATGCTGAGCTTTCGTCGGCCAGCACTACCGACATCATCAGAGCATAGGAGCAAGTCAATGGGAGTTCCCTTTTTATGATACCGGCCGGTTTTGCACATGGCTCCTGGACCTGGTCATCGGTCCATCCAACGTCCTTAATTGTTTTACTCCTAGAGGCATGCATTGGCTGTTCCCTTGCTGTTTTTTAAGGCTGCTATTCCATTATCCACTTTCCTTCCTCCAATCCCTTCCCTCGTACATACACCGCTGTCTGCTATCCCACCACTAATTTTTAAAGCTGTTCTCCCTTCCCCTTCTTTTCGCCGATCGCTTTCTTTGTGTGTATCCAATTGTATATATATATATATATCACATAATAATGTTAATATATATATATATAACACATAGTAATGTTAATGATATGTATATATATCACATAAGTATGTATGTGTGTGTGTGTGTGTATGTATATATATATATATATATATATATATATATATATATATGTAGGTCTTTGGATATTCGAGTTTTCTCCCGCGTAAAATTGGAAGTGTCTTGGCGATGTTTCAACGAAGTCACATTCGTCATCTTTAGGCTGGTGTCTTCAGCTTCGTGCTTCTGGGAGTAGAAGCACGACGCTGAAGACACCAGCCTGAAGATGACGAATGTGACTTCGTTGAAACGTCACCAAGACACTTACAATTTTACGCGGGAGAAAAGCCGAATATCCAAAGACCTACATACAAACACCCGCGAAAACCTCAGAAAACAAATATATATATATATATATATATATATTTCAAAATTTGGATTGCTAACAAAGAATTAAGGGAGAACTGGAATAGCCATTTCGAACTTTTTAGTTCTTTTCAACCAGACATACCCTTCTGAGATTCGAACCATATTTGGGCTGACAGGGTGCACCAAACTCAAGATATAAATATCTTGGACCAGGGGTGGACCAGGGGTAGGCAATCTTGGCTCTTTTATGACTCGTGGACTTCAACTCCCAGAATTCTTGAGCCAGCACAGCTGGCTCAGGAATTCTGGGAGTTGAAGTCCACGAGTCATAAAATAGTCAAGGTTGCCTACACCCTGGGTTGGACATTCAGGCTATATGATATTGATTAGAATACATTTAAATGTTACAAATTTGCATTTTCTTTTTGAATATCAGGCAAAGCCCAAATAGTTTTCAGTTGTTATTGTTAATTACTAATTAATAATTTTCCTAAAAGTGGTTGGTAGGCTTAGATTTCAGATATCACAATATTTAATTCAGTGAATAAAATTTAAATTTCAAAGGTTTGGTGAAAGTCATTCGGGGATTCTTCTTGTTTCTGTTGCACTGCCTCTCTAAGAGTTGGTTCTCAGACTGCTAAGGCTTCCAGCGACTGCTGTGTAAATAATTCATAGCTGCAGATTCTCCCTTTATTAAAGAAAAATCCTGCTTATTTCCAGTGGGCTGAGAAGGTATGGGGGGGAAAAAACACCTCAGAAAGCCTCTGTCCAAGTGTATCCTAAAATATATATTATTTATAAATTGAAAATGGTTTGATAGAATCCCTGTATCACCACTGCTTATATCTTCCCACAAAGAATTTGGGGACAAATCTTTCCGCTCAGGTATTTAACCATTGATTTGATTTCCAGTCTTAATTCACGTGGTAGATGAAACATTCTTTAGCTTATTATTTTCGTGCTCTAAAGTTTTTGAATGGTATCACTTTAGGTGTAAAAAAGTAAAGGTTTCCCTGTCAGTCGTGTCCAACTCCAGGGCACGGTGCTCATTTCTGTTTCTTGGCCAAGGGAGCCAGTTTTGTCCGAAGACAATTTCCATGGTTATGTGGCCAGCATGGCGTATGCCAAAGGCACATGGAACTCTGTTACCTTTTCATTGAAGTGGTACCTATTAATCTACTTGCATTTGCATGGTTTCAGACTGCTAGGTGGGCAGGACCTGGGGCAAGTAACGGGAGCTCACCCCTTTGTATGGAGCTCGGGTGTCAAACCCAGGCTGCCAGCTCTCCAGCTTTCAAACTCAGCTTTAACCTGTGAGCCATGACGGTCCATCCTTTATTATAGTCATACCTTGAAAATCACTCAGAGAGTTGGGTGTTTAAAAATAAATTTATGGCTGTTGGGTGGTTTAAAAATAAATGGATGGATGGATGGATAAATAAAAATGAGTAATCTCCACTTACAACCATTCATTTAGTGCTGGGGTTCCCAACCTATCGACTGTGGCCCACTACTGGGCTGTGGCCTAATCGCCACTGGGCCACGTGCTGGTCTGTGCATGCACACAGCCCCACTTGCGCACACAGCCCCACTCCCACGAACCTCGTTGTGGGCGCTCATGACTCCATTTGCGCAGGCTTTATTCTGGGCACTCGTGGCCCCATTCGCACATGCGCCTGCCCCTTCCACAAAATCATCCCCTCTTTTCACCCTCCTCCCCCTTTTCTGGGTCAGAAAAGGTTGGGGAACTCTGATTTAGTGTCTGTTCGAAATTACAACAGCATTGTAAAAAGTGACTTATACTTGTTTTTCACACTTATGACTATTGTAGCATCCCCATGGACAAAATTTGGATGCCTGGCAACTAATTCGTATTTATGATGGCTGCAGTGTCCTGTGATCACGTGATCACCTTATGCAATATATATTGTAAAAACCATTTGTAAATTTTGTTTTCTATCTTCACTTTCAGTTAAGTTTGGATTAAGTTGGAAGAATAATTTTCTTATAGGAAATTGGTCATTTTCTTTCCTCTCCTGTCTTTTGATCACATGGGTAGTTCATAAATCATTGTGGTTTGTTTTGGAACTAATTTTTAATGAGCACCCTTACATCTCTGCAGATATGAATAGCTGGGTAATATTTCCATTTTAAAACATATCTGCATAATCTGAAATGACCTGCATGACCCTTTACCTCAGCTAGTGCTGCAGCAATTGGAAGTACCAGATTCACAATCCCATTTGATCAGTTCTCAGAATAATCTACTATCTTTGATTATGATCATTTGACAAAATATAAGATATGAATGAAATAAGTAAGCTGCATCAGACCTATCAAAGCCCTCTCTTTTCTGACACAATTGCACTCTCTCTCTCTCTCTCTCTCTCTCTCTCTCTCTCTCTCTCTCTCTCTCTCTCTCTCTCTCTCTCTCTCTCTCTCTCTCAATTTTCATGGCCGCCCATTTCAGTCAATTATTGGGTGGTTGTATGTGAAAAAATATTGGTATAATAATAGTTTAGGAATGAGAGAGACTTCATTATGGATTCTGCGCTGCTGAATCCAGAAGAGGCTTTTATTATCTACTCCTACCACCATTTAATTGATATGATTCTGTGATGTTTCACTGTTTAATTGGTATACTCTTATGATCATTTTTGTCTACGATGAGTCAGTTATTCTCTCTCTAATTTGAGAATTTATATTTACTTATAAAGGTGGCCCAGGCTCTGGCAAAGGAACCCAGTGTGGGAAATTAGCACAAAAGTATGGATTCATGCATGTGTCAGTAGAAGATCTGATCCAAAATGAGGCAGCATCTGGAAGGAGTAAGACCATCAGAGATATAACCGAGAGTGGTGAATTTATATCAGGGGTAAGATGTGATTCCAAAATTAATGTAATCTCTTCAATGGGGGTGGGGGTGGGAGGAGAGAAGGAAGAAGCTTGAATGGATAATATAAAAACTAGATAGGTTCTTTCTCCAGAAATTTGTTTGAAATACAATATGTATTAACTCAAAACTACCTGTTGTATTTTAAAGAAAAGCAAGATAGTAGTGAAGCCTTACAACAACATAGGCATCTTCGCTGGTCTCATTGAGATGTTTTTTAAAGGTTCCTTCAATTGATTATATTTGCAAGACATATGCTTCGTAATGTGCTCCAGTACTTAAAATAATTAGCTCTCAAGGGAGCACTGCCCTTTTTTTTTTTTTTTTGGTAGCATTTTCCTACTTGTAAAATGTCTAGGTTAAGAGTCAGTAATGATAGGAATTTTGGAGTGCCTTCAGTCGGTAAATTTGGTAAAATAGTGCATGCACATGAATGCACAATATACTTGCAATATGAGCATATTAGGCTATTGTGGCTATGTCTCATTTTAAGGCACTTGAGCTTTCAGACCAGATGTTAAACCAAACTACTTTGCATTTTTCAATTAAGGATATTGTCACAGAGCTCCTAAAAGAAGCTATCCTTGCCAATATGGAAAACTCGAAGGGATTCTTGATTGATGGCTATCCCCAAGATATTCAACAAGGAGAACAGTTTGAGAATGAGGTGAGCAATCCCATCATGCAAAAGGAAGAACTGAGCAGTTGCTTTAATGCAAAATGTTCTTTCCTTCTCCAGGGAACCCTAAAAAAAATGTTTGTTTGAAATCTTGAATCTATTCCTGAGTAATGTCGACAAGACTGAATCAGACGGATAGTCTCACTAATTATAAGACATTTTCCTGTTCTAATCCTATTTGCTTCTGTCCACTGTTGTCTATTGAAAGGCTGACTTTTTCCATGAACTTCGCAGTAAACAAATATTACTTAATGTTGTTGTCAACTTGCAGGACTTAAAAAAACTGCATTTGCTGCATTTCTACTTTTTAATGAAATATGTGCAAAGGTGATGTGCACTCAAACTATACAAAGGATCAGTTGAAGAATACCCTAACGCAGAAACAATTTTAAAATGCAACATAATTTCCACACATTATCTGTTGTCTTAGAAACATCAGAAGTGCTAATGCTACTGGGTGAAAATGACATATCTAAATCACGCACACTTTCACTAACTGCACTTTCAGATTGCTTATTAAAATATTGGCATATTACTCTTCCCTGCAAAAGAGTATATGAGATGCTCTGGAGTGATAATTGCTAGGAAGTTAGAATAGAGAACATATTTCTAATTCCTTCTGAATAAATGATGGCATGAGAGCAATTAATAGGTTGAAACAGCATCACTATTTCAGCTTATATTATCCCCGCAGGACACCCAAAACAACTAAGTTGAACAGTGGGATCTAAGTCGAACAAACAAACATTGTAATCATAACAAGAGCTAAAGTCATTGTGAAATATTTGCAACTGAAATGACCTAGGTGGAAAGGAAGGTTTTCTCCCATTTCCTAAAGGCAGAAGAATGTGGGCCAAATGTGACTTCTGAGCACAACTTTCAGTGGCTTAGAAACATCATAGAGTTAGGGTTAGGGTCTTCCCTTATGTATCTAGGTCAGGCATGTCAAACTCACAATGTCACGTGACGTCGCACGACGTATTGCGACTTTTCCCCCATTGCCGGCAATGAGGTGGGCACGGTTTCAGTATGATGCATCTGGCCCGCAGGCTGGCAGTTTGACATGCCTGATCTAGGGAATCAATGTCAGGTCTCTTCCAGTGATTGTAACAAGTGGTTCATAGTGGAAGAGGTAGTCCCTCTAATCCTCAGCCATTTAGGATTTTAAATGGTAATATCAATACTTTAAATTGAGCAGTAATTAACCAGCATAAGTTATCAGTACTCACACGATCCCTTTACTTCAGAGGTCCTGCTTTACTTTATTAGCAGTCCAGCTGCAGCACTTTGCCCTAATCAAGGCCTCCAATCACTCTTTATGGATAGATCCATAGGAAGTACATCATAGTAGTCAGGATGTAATCAAGGGATGTGTAACCCTTGTCATATCTGATGACTTCAGAAACGGTCACAGATGACACCCTCTAGACATTGTTTTGCAAAACACATTTCTTGTCAGGGTTATCAACTGAATCCAGAAATAGCTAATGGTCAAGGAGGAGTTCCATTCTATGGATATGCCCTTTAAAGGAAGTGCAGTTCCATACTAGAAAATCACTTTGAGCCTTTAAAAAAGAATCTATTTAATTTCCTCTTATGGAAAACATTTAACCATAAGTGGATGTGTAATTTAGACAATTTCTAATATGTTTTTTTATTATCTTTGCCTACTATACTTCCTTGTATAATTTTATTGCCATGACAGAGACTTAACTTTCAAAATGTCTCTTAGGATTAAGCTTCATATTTATTTGTTACTAAATATAAATAGACTTGCTGTACATGTAAACTTTGATGTGGAATGTCAGGTGAATACAATCAAATTGGGCAGATGGTCTCAAATGATTTTGCCATCTGGATCAGTCAAAATGGAAGTTAGGTTCAACTTAAAAAATGGTGTTCAAAGATTTATTTTTAAAATCCCCACATATGTTGATTCTAGCAGCTGGTCTGGATAGTTCTTTTTCCCCTGTAGAGAGAAAAGCCTTAAGAAGTGGAAGATTACCTTAGGTCCTCCTTCATTCTTTCTCAGGCTGTATAATAATTGCCTAGATTTGTTTCTACTGATTGTCTCTAGTTATGAGGATACCATTTCATAGAACATCAAAGTGAGAGCAAAGATACCATCTTCCTTAGCTCTTGGCATACAAACCCACTGGAGACCTATTTTACAGGCTCTCCGTGAAGAGCTGCCATTCAGATCACTCATGGATGATCTCCTATTCTGTCCTCTAGAGACATTTGAACACCGTTATTTCATTCTACGTAGTAGTTGCCATTTCCACTCATTCACAGAGACATTTTCATTCAGCGAAAGCCTTAATTACCTTAGAGATCCTGAGTTCCCAGGTACACAAAAATTGAACCTTAATTCATGTACAACCATTCTGCAAATAGATGGAGATGGTCATCTTTATTAGCCCAAGATGCATTTTAGGAGCAGTCTCAAAAGAATGAATAATTTAGGGATAATCTGGAAACTCCAATCTATGGCAAGTGACTGCATCTATACTGTATCTTCAACATAAAATCCTACTCTTGTATTTCATAAATTTAATTTGCAATTTATGAAATACAAGAGAATAATTAAAGGTCACATAGAAGAGTTGCCTCCCCAAAGTAGTTCTGGGTCCAACTTCTCCTGCCTTCCTAAAATTGTCAACCAACCTGGTACTGTAATGCAATGTAAATTTCTCTGCCCCTGTCACTACCACCAATTAACTGGAATTGAGAGAAGAGGAAATGGAAAGAAAAAAGACAATGACAATGCGCAATACTAAAAACTGCTTGAAGATGTAGAAAAAATAAAAGCGTCCCAACATCCTTTACTGCGATGCAAGAATTCCACCAGAAAAATTGAACGGCTTTAGGGATATTTCCAACATTGTACGGCTTCCTAGCATCATCAATTTTATATTGTTATTTCAGATTGTGAAACAATGATTTGTTCTCTAAGCCCAGACACTGTGTTATAACTTATTTATGATGCTGCAAACATTTAGTTGCAGTTCATAGTTGCATTGTGGGAACTCTGGAGCACAAAAATAGATCCATGTGTTTCATTTAAAGAATTTCCTCACTAGGGTAGAATACGTAGTTTTAATTTCTGGTGTAGTGGTGCCGCCTTGTGTTGTGTATGAAAAGCAGTAAGTTCTCCTCCCCAGTATCACCTTGTATGTAGTATTTATCTTTCTTTCTCCACCGCTCACCTTTATTTGGTTTGGATAGATAATTAGATAGATTTGGGGAGATATATGTTTAACCTAATGATACTAAAAAAAGTTTTATATGTCCTTTATTTACTAATGTCTTAAGCAAAGAGAGTGTCTTCTTCCATATAGAGACAAAATCCAGAGAGATTGTTTTTTTCAAAAAATCGAACTAACTCAAGGAAAAATACAGTCTTGTTTGAAGAGTTTTTCAAAGAAAGTTTATAATTTCATCATGAAAGTACTTCTTTATCTTGTGTCATGATTCACATGTTGGGTAGCCACCAGAACCAGCCTTATCTGCAGCACTTAAAATGACTTTCTCAGTTATTGTTTTGTGTATACGAAATATTCTTGGAGGCATAGCAAACCTATAAAAATGTGAGCTTCATGTCACTTTTAAAAGAGATTTAACATTTCCAACATGACTTTGCACAGAAATGTGAAAAAGGGAAAAAAGGCTTAAAACCCCCAAAGGGTTTCAGACATACAATCATATGTATAGAAGCTTTTGCTTATATAACTTGTACAAACAGGAGAAGCTTCCTTTGAGCTCACAAGACTAGAATTAAACTGAATGACTGGAATTAGTTCTACTTCTTCGAAAAAACTTTTCTTTGTATCCCTCCCTCCCATCTGTGTAAATAATTTTTCTTATGTGACCCCAAGAGATGCATATAAATATTGTTTAATAAAATAAATACAGGACGGTAAAGCTATATTGTCGTCGTCGTCATCATCATCATCATCATCATCATCATCATCATCATCATCATCATCTCTCAGCTTACCCTGCAACAAGGTTATTCTGAAACCAAAATGAGGTTGGAAGCAATGACTTTAGGGCTTATGCAGCCATGCATGAACCATCCTGGAACATAACCCTTTCTTGGTCCCTAAAAAACCCAAAAAAACTGTAGATAAAGGCACAGGCAATAATTCTGTCTAAATCTTATGTATAAACCCTTGTATTTGGTTATCGCTTTCTGTTCTTATTCCTACAAAGGAAGACATTTATGCTGAACTCATTTAATCCAAAGGGAACACCTTTAAAAAACTGGAAAAACTGACGTCGTTTTTTTTTCTCCATTTCTTCAGATTGGTGAGCCCTCTCTGATACTCTGCATGGACTGTTCTTCTAAGACCATGAGTAATCACCTTATGCAAAAAAGTCAGTGCCTTGAGGATAATGTTGAAGCTATCATGAAATGCATTGAAGCTTACTATAAAACAGCCGAGACACTAATTGCATATTATGAAAACAGAATCCCACTCTTTAAGGTAGATTGCCTTGACTTTCTACTTGATCTGTCTTCTGTTTATGTGGCAATGTTTTAAGGAGAAAATTAACTTGTGTCATAAATGTTCTGATGTAGCAATTCCTCTCACTCAATTTCTGCTACTGAGAAGGAAGATATCTTTTTTTTTTTAGCTGCAAGATGCATGTTAGCCTATCCCTGTATACAGCAAAGGAAAATCCAGGAAAGACTAAACATTAAACTGAATTATATTCTGTCTGATCATTATGTATACATAAAGTGGCCAGAAACAGGAGGGGGGGGAAATTAACGAAAAAGCATGTCACAGATAAACTATTCTGGTAGAGAGAAGTTCCCTGAGGATGGGCTCCAGCATGAGTCCAAAAGCTTGGAAGACTAAACTTCTGGTCCCGGTGAGTGACCCAAATTGGATTGTGCAACATTATCCTGGGTCACATATATTTGCTTTCATTTGTCAGATAAACTATGTCTGACTTAGATCCTTTTCTTTAGTCAGTTCTTTCACCTTTATATGTTGGCAGGTCATGTTTTGGGATGACTAGTTAGTTGGCCAGTGGCCATATTTTTATTCCTTGAACATCATAAAAGAGCAGAGAGCTTGTAGATTTCTCTCTGCTTTCCTGTCTTGGATTGGAGTTGATGTCATCATGGAAAAATAGGATTTGTATCTGTATCTGCATTTCAACTGTCTTCCCCCAAAATATATGTGGGAAGTTTAAAGCTGAAAAGGCCACAGAGGCAGAAAGCAGGTCTGGTCTCTGGGGAGCCTCTCTAGGATTTTGTCTTGATCATGAATCTGAGAAGGGTCAGTTAACTTCAAGTAAGTAGTTCACCTAAATGCATATATAGTGGGGCTCTACTGGTTGTCCGGAGTGGCTAGTAATTTCAAGCAAGACTTCTGGATCTTTGACATGTCAGGTTGCTTTGTCATCAGGGAAGGACAAAATCAAAATTCTCCCTTACACTTCCCTGCAATTAATACAATAGTTACAACCAATAAGGGAGGATAGAAAAACAAGAAAGTTGCAACATGAAAAGAGAGTGTTCTTCTGGATCGGCCTGACTCATATATGCTGTCAAAACTTGAGAAACGGCAGATGATTTGCCATTTCACTAAATTTAAATACATTGAAATTGAGAAAACTTAATCACGGAGTTTAACACTCATTATTTTCATTATGAAGCGTGATATAATCTAGAATACGTCCAGCCTTTGGGTTTAAAATACATTTCTGTATAACATAGCACAAGCTATCTATTGTTCCAATACACTTGAGTGAAATTTATTTTGCATTTATTTTAGATTACAAATAATTTGGCAATTCAGTCTCCCTTTAGTTTCCTCTTCTATGTAATGTTTAAAACTCTTAGTTGGAATCATTTCCTTAATTGAGGTAATTAAGTATGCTTTTTTGCAAATTTTCTTACACTCGCACCCAAATCCCCAATTCTGGAAGGTATTTAATAGAAGATTTGAAAAACAGCTTCTTACTATACTGTTTCTGCTTATTATTTTGGCTATATTGGGCAATTCTATTATTATAAATAGCAAAAAAAAAGAAAGAAAATTGCCTCTATTGCCTTTTTCTGTTTTGCTATTAACTGAAATATATTTGTGTATTCCGTTCTTTCATATAGAATAGGAAAGTCAGAATGTCTTCAGATATTATCTCCGTATTAAGATTTAGTGTTTCTCACTTGAAAATGCTCAGCATGAAACATGGAAAGCATCGGCTGCCAAAACACTTTAAGAACTGATTATTTAACATTCACACTCCCCAGTATGTTTTTCACTTTGGATGTTTTAGGTGAAGAGCTGTTCTTTTTTTCAAAGCAAATTAAAATCTAAGAAGAAAAATACATACTGGGAAAGAAATGGAGTGATCGTCTCAGTTCAGGGTTGTTGCCACTGCAGCTTATAAACTATGCCATAGAACAGAGGTTCTCAACCCGTTTCATCTCAAGGTGCAGATCTTCTCATAGGCAGAACGTCTGGGTCACGAAACAGAAATTCTGTGGTGTCAGAGGTTGCATAAGGAGAAATAAAGGAAGTCCAATCCTAGTGATGTCACAGGAAGTGGGGTTCTGGCTGATACAGCATACCTGTGGATATTTTGCAACACATTTTACTGCCCTAGATGCTATTAAGAAGAGCTCACTTCAATTTTCTGTTTGCTTGCAAAGGTTTGTTCACAATCTCCAGTTTATAGCATATGTTAAATATTTTGTACATCCCAATAATTAGCAGGTTGGCAGAATATGCGGCCTTCAACAACAAACCGATCTTAAGCCACTTTCTCTTTAGATATTTTACTATAATAGTATTATACAGGCTTGGCTGGTGCCTGTTGCTTGTTCTACTAGTGATGTCTGTCAGTTTTAATTTCCTTGCTGACAAGAGTTGCAACCTGACAAAATATTCAACGGACATGCTTTCCTAGACATGAGCAGCAGTCAGCACTGTTTTCAAGCAAGGCCTTCTAACTTCTCTTCCCGGTTTTCCACTTTTTTCCCATCCAACATTCAAATTAATGGCTGAATTTACTTAGGCATAATGGGATTTGATAAGAGTATCTGTAAGTCAGGGTTAAACTGTGGGGTCCTCAGTGTTCTCTGAGCTTGTAGGCTTTCTTGTAGACATTTCATTACCAAACTAGATAACATCATCAGTACACTAGTGTTACCTAGTTTGGTAATGAAACTTCTGCAAGAAAACCACCAAGCTTGGAGAACATTAAAGACCCCCTAATGAGATCTTTTTAAAAGCCCTTCTGTTTTTGGTTTTGAGTATTGCATATTGTTTCTTCAAGAATGTTGTTCTTTTTTCAGCATTCCAGCATTGCCTACAGTGGTTATTGGGTTATTGAGTCTGGGAATTTGGGAATTAACTTCTCTGAATGTTTTTGTTTTTCTTTTGAACAGATAAATGCAGAAGGAACACCAGAGGAAGTTTTTCTCGAGATATGCACTTCAGTCAATACTTTTCTGAAGAAGGAATAGCACCATTTTCAGAACTTAATGTAATGGCAGTGCTGGAACACACACATGCATACAGTGTCCTTTACAAATGCTGTTCAAAGCAATAGCTGCTGCCTTGAAAGATTAATGCATGTTGTAAACATTGTACAAATCTTTGTAACTTAAATGGTACAGTAATGATATGTGTACTGTATATGGCCTATGATACAGTTTGCAGTTTACAGGTTTAAAAAAGCCAGCATGATAAACAGCAGCTGAGTTTTATAGAACACACCTTCTTCATTTCAGTACTGCAAGACATACTATACAGTCAAGCACAGTATTCTGTCAGTAGGAGTGATGTAACAGTGAATTTGCTGCTGAACACAAATCAATTTTTGAGGCTATTTAAGCTTGCTCTTTTTTGTAGTGCTTGAACAGTCTGTTTTCTGTCATTTTCTTTTACAAGGGGAACATGTCTGCAATTAGGTTTGCAGTCATTTACACACCAAATAATGGAACTGGGAGAGACTCACACACACAAAAAGCACGATATGCAATACATGAACCAAATGTGAAATAATTAACTGATCGCAGGACCAGATGTTGCATTGATAAGACCATCCATACAAGTATCCTATGTAGTTATGGCTTGAAAATTTTTTGATTTACAATGCTAACAGAGGGATAATATATGCTGAAAAGAAAAGTGCCAAATATTGCTGATGTGCTTAAGATGGGTAAAGACTTAGAGCTAATAATGGCAGTGTCGGTATATAAAAAAATTAACACACATTTAAAAAGACCACAGGCAATAATTGTCTCTATAAACTGATTGCTGTATGTGTGACAGCTACATATAGCCAATTGTCAGTTTTAAGTCCTTTAATTTATTGCTCAGCATTTAACATGGGAAATTTAAAACATAAATTGAGCAGTATTAAGTTCAGATTACCACATGCTTTCCACATGCGCACACGCACGTACACACCTCTTGATGACTGAAATACTGAGGTTTTTCAAACTGTTGATCAACAGACAAGAAAATCTTATCATCTATATCAGAAACTGCCTTCTTTGGCTATCCACTATCTCTTCTTGCATGCTAGATTCTATCAACAGTTGCATTATCAACAAGCAATTGAGCAAAATTTGTATTTTTCAACCTACTACTCTTGTATGAAAAAGTAAGAAAAATAAAATGTATGGACAAATGTTAAGGGTAGTAAATTTTACTTTTCATATTTAAAGCTTCTGCAAAACAAATAGGTATCCAATCCAAAGCCACATAACATTTTCACTTAATTGGGTACAGAGTTTTGAATTTTGAAAACTTTTATAGTTGTGTGGTTATGAGCATTTGTTTCAGCTTTTTTAGATGGGATTCTTCCACTAAGAAACAGATGTGGTACAACTTTCAAAACAAGACAGTTGTATTTAAAGACATCATTTGACAGCAATCTCAAAAAATATCCCTAACACTTAAACTACAAATTTGAACTGTTTAATAAGAACCATATAAAAATCTGCTTTGCACTTTGAGCAAGAACTGAAAATTTCCAAGCTAAAAAAAAAAGGGCAATGGGAAACATTTTAAATTCAAAGGGCATTTGAATCTTTGCTGAAACCGTATCAAATCAATCTTTATTATGGTCACAGACTAACATAAGAAGGGTGGGGTACAATTGCTGAAAACGTGTTACATACAGACTTTCTCACTTCTGAGAAGCAATGTATAGTCAGAAGCTTGTCTTGAAAAAACAGCTTTCATCAGTGCAAATTTCAGAGACAACCATCCATCCACTATTGCAAACCATTTGCTTTTTCCATTATGAGATCTGTAGGGCCATTATTTGGGTAGGAAAACATGTTTTGAACAAACGAGAATGGAGGAATGAGATAAGTATAGAACAAGATAGTTTTCCTTACTGGTGGCGCAGTGGTTAGAATGCAGTACTGCAAGCTACTTCTGCTGACTGCCGGCTGCCAGCAGTTCTGCAGTTCAAGTCTCACCGGCTTAAGGTTGACTTAGCCTTCCATCCTTCCGAGGTTGGTAAAATGAGGACCCAGATTGTTGGGGGCCATATGCTGACTCTGTAAACCACTTAGAGAGGGCTGTGAAGCGGTATATAAGTAAGTGCTATTGCTATTGGCCTGCCACCTAATCTGCTTGGAATTATGGCCAACATTGGAATCAGTGTTTGCCTTAAGATGTGCAAAACACTCTGAAACTAAAATTTTATGTGCCCAAATATCCTATTTCAGGGAAAGACAGCAATATAGAGGTTAGAACGGCCCATTTTGTTGAAAGTGGATTATTTTCTAAAAGGGAATGCATTCCACGTTGGAAAGTTACAACTTTGGAACATTTTTCACATCTCTCGAGGCTTGTTTATAGAAAAACCTAAATCCACCATGATCACCTGAACCAATCTTCTATCCAAAGGATATACAGAAAGAGTACTTAGAACATGCCCATATGACAAATCTGGAATATGTTAGCAAACCTAATACTGTATCAGAAAGTAGCATCTGGCTGCAGAGAACATATAATCCGATAATGTAAAATATAATTATATTTCCATTAGATACTCGTTTCCCAAAGCATTACAGTTTTGCTACCATTAATGAGAAAAGTGAAATACATCAGGTGTATTGTTTTATATTATATATTCTGATTTATTAAATTTCTCAAGAATGAGATATGCTTACAGACGATGTCATTTAGAAATGATACTGCATCATCTATTAAAAATGCTTCAACTCCTCTAACAGAAAATGAGTACACCTAAACAAAATGTGAAAATTAACACTGAAATTAAACTGAAATTAATGCTGTTATTAAACGAGCCAGCCAACTCCTTGTTAGTTACTGCTGTAGTTTAATTTAAAACACATATACTAAATTACTTCCAAAATTCAAGTTTTTTGTTTAAGCAAGTGGAAATCTAATACCGTTAGGTCGCATTTCCGGATCACAACTTACACACGTTGAAATGATATATTAACTAAAAATATATAGTAAATGCTACAAAGCTTTTTTCAGTCATTGCTATTCTCCAGCTAATAAAGCGTACCAAAATGCCTTCTTTATTTCATAAAGAGAATGGAGAAGGGATGGATATGTAGAACAGGTACAAGGAAATAAGAATCATAGTCTTAAACAGGTTACACAGAACTCTTATGGTCTTCTTTGAGATCTTCTTCTTCCACGTAACTGATTCCCCCGTTTGTTTCAACAATGGAAAGAGCTTTGAAAAGAGCATTCCTTTGGCTGTGCAAATCTGCTCCCACACAAGTGGTGCATCTGCGAGTTAAAGCATAGATAAGGTTGTGTACAGAATTTAGTAGATGTGTTCAAATCAGGGTGCTGGAGCATTATCCTGGAAGAGGTGGCATAAAACAGCAAGACAAAAGATAAAGGTGAGGCACCCCCTTCTCTCTACAGCCTAATTGATATTCTCAGATCGAAGGGTTGGTTCAAAAATCCACCCTGTTCAGAAAGAAGTCACAGTAACCATTCTATATATAAACAGACGGTAGCCACATAGTTTATTTCTCACAGTTCTCCTGACAACTGAACATTATTTAAGAACAGACTGTATACACAGATAAGAAGAAACATACAAAATGTTTTAAATGATGCACAACAAAATCGAGCAGTATAAAAGAATGCATGTGAAGTCTTGCTCACTGTTCAGGCTAAATTTAATCACCTTGTTTAAATAGTAATAAAAATACAATCTTTCATGGACCTTGTGCATACTACAAAAGAGGAAAATTATTACCATATATGATTTATATTAGGCAGTTTTCTTTGATGAGTTGCATTAACAACTCTAAATACAGAGGCAGAAGGCTGTGTATTCCATAAGAGTTAATGGTGGGGATTTAGAAACTTTACACAGTTACTACCACTGGCACTTCTCACCATAGTTTTGTACACAACACATGGTCATTTTATATAACATTACATTTAAAAATATATCTGCATGACAATTTTATTATATTCACACACCATGAGCTGGTTAAGGAAGCAGTGCCACAGTTGCCTCCTGTAGTGCTTCACTCTCAGTAAATAAGTTTGTGGTAAAAAGGGAGGGAAAAAAGGAGGAGGTAAAAGAAACATCTATGTAATTAAGCAGCTCCAAGGCCTATCAGGACCAACCCTGGGACAGTGATTGTTTTATGAGTAGTCCTAGAAGCAAACACTGCCACAGGCTAAAACTTTGCTGAAATAAGCCAGTTTTCTGTGTGGAGACTATTTTCCACAACAAAACTGCAAACTACTAAACTGTTGCAATGTAAGTATTTCATCACCTGTTCACCGCATAAAAGCCAAGTTCTTTCAGCCTCTGGAATTGACTATGCTTAATGTGTGCTTTCTTTTCTGGCCACACTTTTGTAACTCATCTCTTGGGTGGTTTTTTTTTTTTTTAAAGATTAATGGAGTGAAGAAAATCTGCCCGGTAAAGCCAACTGCACACTAGGAATGTTCAACCTCTGTTTAGTGACCTAGTAACAAGACGGGTCAGAGAGCTGTATTTGTGAAGGGCACCTGGGAAGCTCTCATGCAGTGGATGACATTCCTGGGAAAGTACATGCCTTTCCATAGTGGGCACAGAATCAATGACTGTGCCGCTGTTGGGTTTTCAGAAGTGACACTATGTTTCAGGTTGCACATCTGCTTTCCTTGTCATCTATTGGCAGGAAAGTAGTTGGGGTCAAGATAATTATAGCTGGGGCCTTGGGACATGCAGTAGTCTCTATCTAAGAACATTTCTGCTCTGTACATAGGCTCCAATCGGTGATTTTCCTTGTGAATATCTGTTTCGTGTAGACTGAAAGAAAAAGAAAAACCATTATTTGTGAAGTATGGCACTGCTCATCATCTACTCACTATTTTAAACTGGATATATTTAAATTCCTATCGGAATGAATGGCATATATCAGGAAGGTACGTTTTTCAACATGAATGTCTACCCATGGAGCTAGTCACTTTTAGAAAAATAATATGCCTATTGTAAAAAGAAAGAAAGAAGCAGGGAGCCAAAGAAATTAAGAAATTAAGACATGGGATAAGAAAAAGACAGTATCTAACTGCAGTTATCGCCAATATTACGACCTATACTTTTCCATACTTTCCTACACTTGCAAACCCTAGATTTTTCCATGTCTGTGCATTTGCTTCGTACATCACCTTTTCTTTAAATTTCTCATCTCTTTATTTGAAGACCTCATCAACTTCATCTAACCACATCTTTCTTAGTCATTTCCTTCCTCTCAGCTCATTCACTTTTCTTTTGTGTGTTTGTTTTGCAAGTCAATTCACATTCGTTCTCTTACTACCAACCACTTCAAAATATTTCTTTTGTACATTCTGTATTTAATCCAAATTCATTCAGCATCCATACATTCTTGGCTCTACCTTTTCCTGTTTAGCCCACACATTTTTAAGTATCTCTTTCTACTGCATTCAGCTTGGTTTTATTCTTCTCCCAAGATACAATATGACAGAAACAGATTCTCATATATAGCTATTTTACCTTCTCTTGACATTCATTTCTTGCAACAAATAGCATCCATTATCTTTCTACCAGCATCTGCACATCTTAACATTTCTCTATTCATTTTCCCATTTTTAAAAAAATATTCTACATACATTCCTATCTTTAATAAATATTCTGCACATATTTATCTACTTGTTTCAGCATCTGCTATTTACATATTTACAGTTAAGTTGCAATAGTTTCCCTCCCCACACACACACATACACATTTCCCCTTGGACCTTCAATTTGTAACTTTTGCAATCCAAATTTGTGGTTGCATCATACAATATATCTACCATACAACCTTAGGGTTTATACAGCCAATAAACATGCGCACAAAAGAACATGCACATTTATGTCCCCCTACAAACATATATTTAAAATTATCACAAGCATCCCTTATATATTCCAAAGACGTTATGAACTCTATGTGTTGTAAGATGGACATTTAAAAATAAAGCCCACGTAACTGTCAATGCTGGTCTTCAGGGCATGCTGCTTACCAGTCAGAACAAGAATCACAAAAATCCAAAGACAGTTCTGCAGGGCAGTCTTGGCAGTGCCACCGAATGCCTTGAATTGGATCAGTTCCACAGTTATCACACTGAAAAGAAATTTAGCAAAGTGATCTCAGGGATTTCCCTCCAAAAATAAGCAGCTTGCCAGATTAATAGTTTTACTGCATAGCTAACATTACTGCAAAATAAAATTATTTTTCTTTTAAGTTCCCCCCTTCTCAACATTATGACAAAGCAGCAATCTACAAGCCTATATGTCAATATTTTAAACTTAGTTTTCAAGCAGTTTCTTTCTTTTGCCTCTTCTCAGCTTTTCCAATTGTTTTCTCATACAGTATTGTTCTGCCTCCTCCAACTAAAGTGCTCCTCTTTTCATTCCCCAGCAAATTCCTATATTTTACTCCACTGTGCTACAAATTTGCTTTCATCTCTCCCATTCCTCCTGTATTAAATTCACTTAATGACTAAGGGAGGAAAAAAATAAAATGTTTTCACTATCTTTTAATTTAAGGTTCACTGAGAAGGACAAGTGATTTTAGATCCAAATTTGGTTATCACTGTGATGTAAGCAAACAGCAAATTCTTTTCTCTGATTTTCAGATATCCACATTATTATTGAAGACAAAAAAACTTCATGGGGTATCTAAGAAGTTCAATTAGCCAACATGAGCCAAGAATGATGAGTAGTTTTTGCCTAATAAATCAGAAGGTATTGGATTGGGGAGGTATACAAAACAAATTACCTAGTTTAAAAACAAAAAAAGCATACTACTAATTTCCAAGCTGTAACGCTTAGGTATAACATCACTTTCCAGAAATTGTAAAAGGAAAGTCTTCTCTGCATACTGCTCACGATGTTCTATTAATATATTAAAATAACTTGTAAACATTCAAGGCAATAATTTCATAAGAAGGATTTTATCACTAATCTGTTCAGAATCCCTAGCGATTTCAGTAAGGTTTCTTCTCAAACAGTTGGTAGAGTACAGGTTTGAATATATAGTTTGATTATATAACATCAATAATTGTGTATGTGTAAAGTTTGGTGTATTACATTTACAGACCTCAGATATATCTTCCATTAGATCAGGGTAATCGTAATAGTCTAACTCTTTGAAGTTTTACTTACGTTGCTTAGGAAACTTAATGCTGAACCCAGATTAGGATCTTACTTTCCAAGGAAACCACCACTTAGATAACTGAGGAAATATGAGGCCTTTGGCATTTTTACCAACCTTAAAGCCAATGTGCTGAACAAAGCCACTTTCTGCATGCATTTGTCGCACCTTCCGCTTCCTCAGCTTTTTAAATTGCAGCAGCTCTTTATATTCTGGTAATTCACGATATGCTATAGGGATACTTTCTTCGTCCTATTTCAGAGAAAGAGAAAATTGCAACTTTTAAAGTTACAGAAAGAAGGAGTGAGGTAAAAGAAACCACGCTTCCTAAACAGACTCTAGAATAAATGGCATTCTATGATGTGACTGCTCATGGCTGGTTATATTGGAAAATGGCTCAAGATAGTTTACAATTGCCCTAATAATTCCATAAACATTAATTTGGTGTATTTTGTTTAGTACCACAGTGCCAAATAGTTCAGAATTAAATTGACTCAGAATTCTGAATACTACTGAAATACGACTTCTAGTATGAGAAATTTTAATGCAGCTTTGATTTTTGCCATTTTATTGTTTCCTTATAAACCAGAACATCGAAACAGGAGACTTAATAGTGGAAGAACAAAATGCCCAAAGATTTTGTAAAATGGAAAAGAAACCCTGACTTCTAAAGTGATTTGTCTCATGAATTTTGTCCATAAAAAAATAAAACCAGGAGTTGTCTTATGCTTTCCTGTAATGGGGGAAGGGCCTAGGCACGTATGTGTGTGCTCAGATCTTACAAAAGACTGTCCATTATATCTAGACAAATTAGAAGAGACAGGCCTGGCCCTTCTCTGATCAGGTTTGGCCTAGTATAGGGGTAGGCAACCTTGGCTTTTATGACTCGTGGACTTCAACTCCCAGAATTCCTGAGCCAGCATTTAAAGTCCACGAGTCATAAAAGAGCCAAGGTTGCCTACCCCTGGTCTAGTAGAATGTATAAATCAGTCTGTTTGGGACACCCTCTGCTAATTTGAAAAGGAAATACAGATAGTCCTCAACTTACGACCACAGTTGAGTCCCAAATTTATGTTGCTAAGCAAGACATTTGTTAAGTGATTTTTGCCCCATTTTACGGCCTTTCTTGCCCCAGTTGTTAAGTGAATTGTTGCAGTTGTTAAGTTAGTAACATGGTTGTTACGTAAATTTGCTTCCCCATTAACTTTGCTTGTCAGAAGGCTGCAAAAGATGATCACATGACCCCAGGACACTGAAACTGTCATAAGTCAGTTGCCCAGTGTCTGAATTTTGATCACATGACCAAGGCAATGTTACAATGGTTATAGGTATGAAAAATGGTCATAAGTCACTTTTTTCAGTGCTCTTGTAACTTCGAATAGTCACTAAAGGAACGGTTGTAAATTGAGGTCCACCTATACTGTCTTAATTTTCTCTCCTTCAGATCAAAAACACTTGGGTTTCTATTGCACTAAACAGACATAGGTGCATTGACCTTTTACATATACAGCCATTTCTGGGTCATTTATATTAATTTATAGAGCTTTCTTACATAGCATTTTAAAAAAATCCGTTTAAATGCAAAACCTACTGATGGTTCTTCTTCTGCTGCACTGGCTATGTGACTGTGAAAACAGGATCTATCGTCATCTTCATCCATGAACACAGGAGGTTCATGGGATGTCATGAAAGTTGAAGGCTTGAAGAGATGTTTATTCAAAGGATGTTGCCGTCTATTAGAGGACTGGAATAAAAATAAGTATATGTGGTGAAGGTGGCTTTATATACTTTTTATAGCACCACTTCAGAAAGAAAGCTTCACATATTATTAGAGTGAGAAAAATATTTCTAATTTTCAACTAAAGTTCTTCTTTTCACAAAGCAAAAAACCAACATATTCTGCAACAATGTATTTCAGTACTTAATTGCCACAAGGAATCCCTTTTGGCATGATGGAGATTTCTAATCACTGGGTTCTTCCCTCCTACCAAAGAAAGGCAGAGATAATCAAACCTAGGTTTTCACAGCTAAGCCTCATGTTTAACTCTTCTCAGTGCATCCTTTGCTCCAGATTAAGATGAGACAACTTGAATTAGTATTATACAGCATGAAAATATAAAGGACAGAATCTTCTCCCAATACAATTAACATATAACCATCAAGTAGGAAGGCAGAATAAGATCTTACACTGGATGACATGTGCCAAAACAGGTTAATTAATGTGTGGCTTTGTTATCTCTACTGGGCAAAAGAACCTTCATATTAAATGTCCAATTTTCACTTTAGGGAGAGAGATGCGACCAATTTTAAAACTGACATATGAGAAATGAAGGAAAACCAAGGAAACAGCACTAATTAAGTATTTCTGAGAAGCCCCATATGAAAACCTGACAAATGGATGGAAAACTATATGACTTCTGGTAAGGGGAATTTTAATGTGAAATGGCTTAGATAAACATTGAGTTATATAACTCATGAAAATACACGTTCTTGTTAGTAGTTATTGTGAAATGTATAGTCTGCCCCCCCCTTTCTGAAAATGAGAGGGGTGGGGAAATTGTATTAAGAGGCTTGAACAATAGATCTAAGCCCTGAGCATTTTGTGCATAATCCACTTTCTGACATCACCCAAACACATATAGAGATTATGAAAGATGAAGGTAAAATAAATGTCTAAAGCTCATGAAAGTTTGGGTTTTTTTTTATTAAAAGGAATCAGCATGGATATTCTAATGGAATAGGTACAGCTCTTTTAAATAAGTTGTTCTCAGCTCTAAAATCATTTTTGGCTAAAAACTGCTACTTCAGTTTGGCGTGCACAAGTGGGGGCACCAGTGCGATGCACTATGCGGTGTCCTGCCATGAGCAGCAGTACCGGTGTGACGCACCACGTGGCCCCCTGCCACGAGGGCTGCAGAAGATATCTTTAGCTATCCAACTTCTGAATAATGTAAGAGGCTTTGCAGCAATTGGAAACATATTAATGTAGGCACAAGAAACTGCTGCTTCTGTCATATCTGCATGAAGGTGGATGAAAGGCAACTGCCTGATCTGTGCCAACATAGATCTTGCCTTAATGGTTATTCACAACGGTCTCTGTGGCAACTAGGACAGTTTATCTTTTTGTTATTATTCATTGTATGAATATCTGAGATTTTATTTTGTTTTACTTGTTTCACCATTGGAAGCCATGTGCAGAGCAAGATAGCAAAGATGACATGTCTACAAAAGAAGAATATTATCCCTCTTCCCTGTCACAGGAACAATTGATGAAGAAACTAAAGCAAAACAAACAAAAAAAAACATTAGAAAGAAAGGGAGTGATCTAAAAAGAAAACAGAGCAAAAATTCAGAGGAGCTGGAGCAGCAAACTCTCCCTGTGGAAAGGCAAAGAACTGAGGGAAAAGGTAGCAGCATAAGATCTGTTAAAAAATTAGGTCACATGGTTCTTACCTTTCCTGGATGGTAGGAAGAAAAAAATACTTATTCAACCAACCAATCACTTCCCTTTAATCAGTTCACAAACATCCATAAGTACATAAATACTGGAAAACTATGTAAATGATAGTTTAAGAGGATTAGAGATTACACTACCATTCTTTCTCATAAAAAATCATACAAGTGTTCAAATTATTCCTGACCCCAAGCACTAATTCACAACTTGCCAGAGACTCCAGAATATGATGGAAAGGAAATGTAGATAGGATTATTAGCATACTGTTATTATTACACACACATTCCCCAGTCTTGCACAATGTCTCCCAGTAATTTCATATAAATACTGAAAAGCATCAGAGGTAAAATCAAAACTGGTATAGCACAAAGATAGAGATTGAGCACAAGTCTCACAACATTACTTTTAGGGAGACTAAAAATATCCCCACCTAAGCAAGCACCTTAAAAGAAATCCATAATTAATAATATAAAAGGTCACATGCATAACTAAAAGGAACAAGGCCCTATGCTTAGTTCCTGACAAAAATAATTTATAGACAGCTTCAAGACTGTTTCATTCAAAAACCAGGTCTGAAACCAGACTGAACTGGTTTTGAACTATCAGTTTCACCTGGTACCTTTTAAAATTAGTTGCTGTAGGTGTGCTCAAACCTCTTAGGTAAACAAAAATGCTATATGCAATAACTGATGATGATTATTTAAAACATTTAAATATGACTTTTTAAGCAGAAGTGAAGAAATACCATTTTTAAAGAATGAGACAAAAATGTGGGCTGCATAAAAAGCTTTTAACAATATCTTTGGTATCTATTTGTTATAACATTATTCTCAGCTAATCACAAATATTTTGGAAAATAAATTGTTCAATTAGTCATTTTTCCAAAATAGTATATTTAGTATCAATTGTTCCCAAAGTGTAATTTGTACATTTTCACCAGCCAGCTTTCATAATGACATTTTGCCACATTAAATGGTCAACTCTACAGAAACATTTTTTGCTTTAAATTTTAAATAAACAGACATTGATTTAATTTCACTAATGCATAAAATAACTTCATCATTACCAGGTATTAGGCATTGTTTCATAAATATTTCCATGCCAGATTCCATATTGCCTTCAACACTGGCAGAACTTCTAATGTACTAACAAGTTCTCAAAAATTCAGGGAGATATTCAGAGATGTATCTGCCTTGAAAGGAGATCAAGTTGAAAGTGTATAGCCCAATCAAGCATCAGGAGTTTACCATGGGAAATATTTTATGACTTTTGTATCATGTCATAAAATGTTTTATAATGTTTATGTCATAAAATGTTTTATAACATTGAAATTTGCCAAATTTCAATTCCACAGGAGTCATGGATCCTGGATTTTGGACTCACTCTGTAAATTAACACAATTGAGGTACCTTGGTTCAAAAATTGTTGCTCTGATCATTTTGCCTAATTAAAGGTTATACGCAAACAGGAGAATTTCAGTTGTATATAGTTTTTCACAATAGATGTGCATGGTCTGCTTTCTGATAAAATTCACATACTAGCAAAACGATAGGATAGCATAATACAGATTAAATTTCTATACCAAGAAAGAGAAGCTAAATGTTCAAGCTAGCTTTAGAAAAGGCCAACAAACCTGAAACATTATTGTTGATTCACAATGTACAATTGATAAAGCCCCCAAAAAGTTGATTGTGTCAATCATGTCAAGCAGTGAATGTGCTTAGAAAAATGGGAATTCCAGAACATCCCACTGTCCTTGTGAGCAACTTATAGAAAGGTCAAGAAGCTACAGTATGGACAGAATATGGTGAAACAGGGCTTCAGGTTGGCAAAGGAGTGAGACAAGTCTGTATATTCTCTCATTTATTTGACCTATATCAGTGGTAGCGAACCTATGGCACGGGTGCCAGAGGTGGCACTCAGAGCCCTCTCTGTGGGCACGCGCACCATCGCCCCAGTCCTAGGCCTTCAGCTGGGTTTTATAAAGCCTTTTCACTTTAGGCCTCTGCCGCCGTGTACAAAAAAAAAAAGGTTCAATCAATCAGTCAATTTCAACTTCTCGCAGGAAAAAAAAAGATCTTGCAAAGTTGGAATTGATTGATTGAACTTTTTAGTCCCACCCAGTCTGCCGTTATCACCGCAGCCACGCCCAGCCAATGGGCCATGCCCAGCCAATGGGCCACACCCACCCGGCACCCAACAATGCATAAGTGAATTTTGGGTTGCAGTTTGGGCACTCGGTCTCTAAAAGCTCCGCCATCACTGACCTATATGCTCTGTGTGTTTGTGCTTATGTGTGTGTATGTATATATAGATATATATATAAATAGAGGAAAGCTGAATTGAAAGGTCAACATGACTTTAAAATCGGAAGAAGAATCATCAATAACCTGTGCCATGCTGATGACATCACCCCAAAGTAATCAAAGTAAAGAAATTCAGTGGGAAAAAAATGATTTTGCTTTTAATTTCAGTCCCAATTAATGACAACAGGGAGAGCAAATCAGCCTTAGAACGGAAAATGAAGATATAAACGTGGCAGATAGCTTCTGCTTTTTAGGATCAACCATTAACAGTAAAAGAACAAGTAATCAAGAAATACGCTGCAAACCAGCACTTGGTAGAAGAACTAGGAAGGTCTTGGAAAAGATACTCAATGCAGCAATGTCTACTCCTACAAAGATCAGAATTGCTCATGCCACAATATTGCCTGTGGCACTCCATGGAAATCAAAAGTTGGATTCTGAAGGCAGGATTACCAATTTCTCATGGCATGTTTATTAAAAGCCTAGAAATGGAAGGAAAACCAATTGGCAATGTGGCCTTCATACAAAAAGTATTAGGCACAGAAAAGAATCATCAGATGGCAGATTGCTGTTATTGTTAAAGTGCTGTATCTTCAGTGCCATGCAATGCTCAAGAAGGATGCAAAATGAAGCAGTTCCCCCAACACACACACACAAACTGCAGTACAAGAGAAATTAAAATCACAACAGGTTCTCATATCAGGAAATATTTCTGGGAAAGAGACTAAGACAGTGGAATAAAATGACTATTAAAAAGTAAACCGGTTGGGAGTTCTGTCAATATACAGGGATGAAATAGGGCTCCTGGGGAAAAATGTTTAGTTGTAGAAAATTCTGACCAAGGAAATTTCTGACCAAGCAGGTTGAAGTACCCATATGTGTAATTCTGAAAGGCCACAATTGAAAAAAGCAGGTTGTGTACCCATGATCTATTCATTTAAAAAAGATGCTAACTGTAGTACAAGAGAATGTGGCTGTCATATAAGAAGCCTGGAATCTAAATGACGGAAAGGGCAATGATAGAAAAGATCTGAAATTATGACTGGCAAAAGAATGTGAATGCAGAGCATATCACTAAATTAAGGTAAAGGGTAGTTTTGCACCAGTATTCACAGTCAACTATCTTTATTCACGTGTAGGAAGATCAGAGTTCAGTTCCTAACCACGCCATATTGAATGATGACATCAATTCTACATAAAATAAAAATTTCTGCACAGAGACTGGGGTCTTTGATTTCACAAACGTCTATTCATATTCAGTTGGACCCAATTTGAGAATCTGCTTCAACTCAAGATTTAGAGCCTTGCCTAATGATTTGGGGCCCAAATTTTAATTTTTCTTTGGAAACCCAGTTTTCACATTAAGTGTCACTAAAAAAAATAACTATTTTTTTTGCTCGCCATCACTGGATGGTTTCATGAACAATGGCTCTTATCATGGACTGAAGGACAGCAAATCTTGGAAATTAATTCAAACTCTTGTGATTTACCTTTTTAGAGTATAAATACAAGTTTGGTGTTCTGCCTGGAACTGGAATACCAGCTTTAGTCAGTTTTATGAAATACTTCTGCACTCTGCTGGCAACCTAAAGACAGGGGGGAAAAATCTATTAGAAAATATATAAAGACAGAATTCTTGAACACTAAATAATTATGTACGCTAATACTTAAGAAAAATAAATATGAATGACTCCTCCCGCTACCAAGCTGTTTTCTATACTATGAAAAGACAAAAGCAATGTACTCTTCTCCACTCATAAGGACTCTCCACCCTCATCTTCAAATCTCTCATCAAAACCAACTCCATTAAAAGTTTCCTGAATTTTCAGACTTCCGGTTCCGCCTGGTAGGAATGGTCATTTGTCAGCACGGGATCAAACATCTCTGTCCTTCAGCCAATCAACTGAGGTTGTCACGGTTCTGTTCCAGTGTTTGGAGGTTGTGGAGATCAGGATGGAAACAGTCTGACTCAACCCTGGCAAACTGAGTGGTTTTTGGGTCTGCTGGATCCCAGAATGGAAAACTTTCTATCTTTGCTTCTAAATAGGGTTGAACTCCCCTGCGCTGACTTAATGCACAAGTTAAAGGTTCTCCTGGACTCCTAGGTCCTGCTTGAAGAGCAGGTGGCAGCTGTGGCAGAAAGATCTTTGCACAAATTTGTCTTGTAGGCCTGCTTGCTGTCACTTTGCCCTAGTCACTTTCCATCTAGACTATTACATCACATGCTATACATGGGGTTGCCCTTGAAAGCCATCTGGAAGCAACAAATGGGCAAAAATGCAGTACCCCAGGTAGTTATGGGAAGGTGCCCATGTAACATCATTATGTAGCAAGGAAAATTGGCTTCCTTTAAGCTTTTAGATGTTCAAGGTGCCGGATGCCACCTATAAAGCCCTACATGGCACCTAACTGCTATTTGCAGAATTGCCTCTACCCCAGACATGTCACGTGACGTCGCACAACGTTATCGGGACAGTTTTACCATTGCCAGCAATGGGATAGGTACGGCTTCCAGATGATGCGTCCGGCCCATGGGCCGGCAGTTTGACACCCCTGCTCTACCCAATGATATCTGCCTGTCCCACACATTCTAACAGGCAGGCACACTTCTTTAAAACAATGCCATTTGATGGGGCTCAGGAAGCATGTCTTTCGCATTTTGGCGTCTGCCGTGTAGAATGATCTACCTCCACACCTGACATATGGCTGACCCCAATCTTGTTGGCCTTCAGAACGGCAGTAAAAACGTGGGTTTTATCTCAGGCTTTGGGGCTGGAATGAGTGGAACGGCATCTATGGGAAGCCATCTATTGTATTTGAATTGTATTTGCTTAGAACAAACACAATTGTTTTATTTGTTTTAAAACCTGTTTTACCATATAAAAAAAACTATTTATTAGTGTCTAAAAATTAACAGTAATGCAGCTCATTACCTGCTTTGCAGTTCTATTACCCAACGCATCTGCAATTTTTTGCCATCGCCGAGATTCTATTTCCTCTGGAGGATACTTCAAAAGTAATTGTTCAAGTTTTTTCTGAAATGATGAACAATGAAAGTTGTCAATACAATTTGATTTTCACAAAAAAAAATATCTCTAGTCATCTTTAGTGGAAGCTGCGCGAGAGGAAAGAGGAATAGAGACAGAACAGAAAAACAAGACGAATACTATAGGATAATCTCACTTTAAAATTACAGTTATTGCATTACCTGTTCTTCTATTGTCCACAGCTGATTAAAAGTTTCAGGTTTGGTCTCATCACAAAGTCGCCCCCTTATCATCTGCTTAAATACAGTATATAACAAGATAGGAATTTAGATAATGTGCATAAATGAATTTCAATCAAGTAAAAAGAGTTGTCGTATGGTTACCAAAATAATCACCTATCGCACCACAGTATATCAAAATTAAACATTCTATTGATAGCAACTACAAAATATTAATGCCATCCTAGGACTTGATTTCAAATTATATCTCATATTCATATTTTCTATTTCTTTATCAGGTTTGATAACTGAACCTAAAATAGAATGGAATCCTGTCTCTTCAGCTCTGCCCTTTCCTCTTGGCATCCTTAGCCCTTTCTTTAGCCCAAGGAGCAAACAAAATATTCAGAGAGTGCTTACACCACACTTGCACTTTCTTCTTTGGTACCACCTCCCCCAGCTTTAATATGTTTTGGGTTTATCCTTCTTAATACAGAGATGGGCAATTATGGAAACTTTAACACTTGTGGATTTCAACTCCCAGAATTCCTGAGCCAGCATGAAGTCCACAGGTCATAAAGCTGATATAGATGCCCATCTCTGTCCTAATATTGACCAAAACCCTCCACTTTTTATTATTTCCTTTAGTAATTATTCCCTCTTCTCATTATGTTAGCAAAACAAATGGATGCATAGTTCTTGAACAGAATGATCAACATTCATAAACCCATATATGATTTTAAAGAGAAAAATCTGAACATGCATAATCAAAAATAATCACTTCATATAACTACCTAATCACTCTTTCTTTCTAAAGTACTATTCTTTTACACCTCATTCTCTCAACAGGAACCCCTGGTTTAAAACCCATTTTTTTCCACTGAAGCTGAACTAGCAACACTTTGCTCTTCATCACCTATTACTAATCATAACCAACTTGTAACAGCCAACCACCAGCTGTTTTTTCCCCCATGAAACCCTTTTTCTCCTTCATTTCTGATATGGAGAGATTTTTAAAGCCTTTAGTCCTCATTCACTACTACAGAGTCAAGTTACCCCATGACTTTTATAGCTAAGCAATGACCAAAAGGTGAGTAGATTTGGGCTTTTCTAGCCTGTCTGATACTGCAATCAAAATAGCAGATTCTGAAGGAAAATACTTTCTGGTTTGTACTGTTGAGCAGTTGCATTCCTTACCTTTCAAGAGGAAAACCTGGCTTCATTTATTGACCAAAAAAGGAAGAACAGCAGAGCTGCAAACAGTTAATTCATTCCTAGCAAAACTAAAGATCATGCAGAGATAAAAGCATATATTGACCTAACCATCACTTATTGACCTAGTGGGAAGTGGATACTGTGGTTTTGACAAATGAATAATGGCATTGTAACCTTCCTTTACAAGAAGTTTAAGAATAATTTGATCAAAAGGCAAAGACTACCACTCTTCCAAATAAATAATCTCATTTTTCAAAGAGCTGATTTGGAAAATATAGGCATTACTTTAGTTTTGTTCATATTTACTTGTGGACGGTTGTTCATTGAAGCTTCTGGACAATCACTAAAAGGCAAAACAGAGTACGAAGTAGTCTCTCCATCCTTTCTGGGATCCAAAGGGCTTTTTGGTCTTGTAGGTAAACCTACAAATTTTTTTAAAAAATTAATAGAGTGCATTTGACTTTTTTTTCTGTAAAGCGTAATGATTTTATACTCACCTTTATCAAAAATAAGCTTGGCTCTTCTACTGTTACGCTTTCGGTTTTTGAATTCTCTTTCAAAATTCCCAAGGCTTGTGGTGTATTGGTCCCAGGATACCTCTGGCAGCTTGACAACTCTTTGTGGAAATGGAAGCCCTACATCAACCTGACAGGGAAAAAAAGGTGAAAATTTTACACAGAAAAAACACCAAGTAATATGATACAAAATTTCATATACTTGGACCAATGTTAAGGCAAGATCTCAAGCTCTGTATTATTATACTGCCGCACATTTAAGGAATTCTTCCAAGAGTAATAAAAACATGGTATGTAAAATACAGAAGAAACAGAAAATGATGGCTCATTAACAGATTGTATTTAAAATTGTTACAGATGCTTAAAATCTCATCACCATTTATTATCTTTTTACCATTAAATTATTTGTTCACTTACGTTTCTGAACAATTATATCCTAAGAGAGGCTACAAACTAGAAACAAAAAAACCTAAAGCTGAACAATGTTCAATATATAGATATCAAACCACATTAAGCACATTTTATTATTGTTCTTTAATAATAAAATATATTCCACAAAATCAAAAATCTGAAGATAAAATTACCAAATGGCATATTTAGCTGCTATTTCCCAGTGATGGAATGAAGCAAGAGAATTGGTGCAAAGACATACTGAAGGGAGAAAGAAATTGGTGCCACTATTATTCATCCGATTTCATAAACAAACGACTAATTCAATTTTAAATAAACACAGCTTTGAAGAAATGTTTTTAGAACGATAGACTCAAGGGGTCCTCTGCAGAGATCACCTACTTTCTTATTATTACTATTTACTCTCACTGACTGCAGGAGATGAAGTATCAGTTATCAAACATCGCTTATGAGAAGATTCCCATTGCTATACCTTCTTCTGGAGACTTTCCACAAATCCAATGGGATCTTTCAGTGCTTCTCTCTGGTGTCTGCCTAAACTCTCAAGATCTTGGACTGCTTGAGTTCGCTGAGCCTCGAGTACTGCAATCGTTTGTAACAGTCTCTGATAACTACAGAGATAAAGGGAAACAGCTCACTATAGACTTCTGTGCGCAAGCAAACCAAAGTGGAAGTAGAAATGAAAGCAAAAACAAAACCTTAGCAACCAGCACATTTATATGAAAGACTCAACAAAAAAATTAACAGAACCATGAATGTTACAAGTCTTTTTTTTTTTTTTTAAAGTCAGAAATTCTTTTAATATTCAACAACAGTAGTGCAAGCAACATTTTTAAAAATCAACAATAAAACAAATGTTGCAGATACAAAAAAAAAAGCTAGATGCTGCACGGAATGATAACCTTTTTTGGAACTTCAGATTAAGTTTCCAGCTACCTACTGTACCATAAAAAAAACCTGCCACCACCAAACGACTCCAATATCCTGAATCAATATCTATGTAACGGAAAAGTGCAACCAATGTATTTATAAATATTGCTTAAGAAGATTCTTAACTTCATTGCATGCCTTCTAAAAATGCTTCAAGCACGAAATACATGTATCATCTCTGAAGATGATATATATATAAAAAGCAGGGTGAACATTAAATTCATAAACAACTAGAGAGGACCAAGTTGGAGGAGAAGTATTAAACTACATTACACTCCAATGTCCGTATCATTTTAAATATCCAGGAAGCTAGATAAATTTGCCCGGAGGTGTGTGAGGAATGAAAACTTTTTAATCCAAATTTTGAATGTGTAAAATATTGCTCTGTAATTAAAAAACAAAGCCAAAATACAAACACTCAATAGTGAAGAAACAAATTGCTTAAGATTTTATAACTGAACATACTATTTCAATATATCGCTATTTCCTAAAAGATGGCAACGGAAACTGAGGCAAGCTTCCTTGGAGACAGAATTCTGTTAAGTGCATACTTAGAAAAACATCTCTATAAATTAATATGAAAACCTATAATTGGATCAAGTCAGTCAAAGATTTAATTCTAGAGCAGGGGTAGGTGACCTTGGCTCTTTTATGACTCGTGGACTTCAACTCCCAGAATTCCTGAGCCAGCAGGTTGCCTACCCCTGGTTTTAGAGAGTACTGAAATAACTATTGCAGACAACCTTCTAATGCTCTGTCAAAGAAAGTAATTTTACCAATAGAAGAGAGTATTTATAGCTCGGGGCTAAACTTTGATGTCCTTGGTGATCTCTGAGCTCGGTTATTCTCTTGTAGACATTTACAAACCTCATTCCCTTCTGGCACTGATGTTATCTAATTAGGTAATGAAACATTTGTAAGAGAACCACCAGGCTCAAAGACCACCAAGGACCCCACAGTAATTTTAGCTCAACTTCCAGTTACATAATATATTAATAAATATATTTCAAGTTCCACAATCAAATGCTTTCTTTCTGGCTGGGAACAAAGTTATTTTAAAGAGTTTAGGGCTCTTCTTATATTTGTTAGAATTCTATATAAAAATCAATATTACAGTGAATGTTTTCAACCTTCAGGCTTATATCTCTCTCAGCGTCTTCCTATCTTTTACATATAAATACAACAAATACTGTCCTAAAAAAAGAAAAACTGGAAAAACATGTAAACTGTCATGTAAAACTACTATTTAGGTCTCATAGCACTATTGTATACATGTTGCCACAAATAAACATAGGCTAATGTTACTTTAATTATAAAATGGATATGCTAGGATTTCTTTAGTTATTTAGGAGTAGAGCAGTCTGCACTTGTATAATGGAGAACCAGATACTATTTAGATTTGAAGTATTTAGAATCAGTGACTATATCAGCAATATGAGTACAATTTAAGCATTAAGTCATATTCTTGCCCATCATATACAACATAAAATTTATTAGTATAACCTGAAATAATGAACATCTTGGTTTTGTTGACTGACATGCTTCACTGAATTCATGGCAGTATTTGCTCACTGCAGTTGAAAATATGCATGCTCAATGCTGGCCACATGACCATGGAAGTATCTTTGGACAATGTTGGCTCCCTCGACTAAGAAACCGAGATGAGGACCACCCCCTTGAGTTGGATACAGCTGGACAATATTCTCCAAAGCAAATCACAATAGAGAGTTACATTTCCAGATAAAACCTGAGTACAAAATATGTACAATTTGAACTGATAATAAATTATAGGGCTTTTGTGGTAAAATAGAGAAAGTGCCTTATGATGAAGAAATATTCTATTATCACGTAGAAATTCAAATGCTGCTGTTATTAGCAGAATATTATATTTTAAAATTTTTGCATAAAATTATTTTTCATTCATCAGATTTACTGGTACAGAGATGAACATAAACTTATTATCATCAAAGTAAACCGTCTTTCTGAGATAATGAATTCTACTCAGAAATTAATGAAACAGAGTATGTCTAAACCAGGGGTAGGCAACCTTGGCTCTTTTATGACTCGTGGACTTCAACTCCCAGAATTCCTGAGCCAGTATGGCTGGCTCAGGAATTCTGGGAGTTGAATTCCACGAGTCATAAAAGAGCCAAGGTTGCCTACCCCTGGTCTAACCGATCAGAAAAAAGGTATTGTTGAGCTTAAAATAAACGTTTCATATTACTAAAACTAAAGCTATTAAATAGGATATACAATATAAATTATGCATTAACACAAGAATCTTCAAAGACAGATATCAGTTTATCACATAACCTTAACAATAACTACTTGCTGTTCAATGACAAACTGCAAAAAGCACTATTCTCAATTTCTTTTGGAATTCTTTTTTTTAAAAATGGTTATACTTTGCATGCTGCCCAGTTACCTTAAGGCAGTGGTGGCGAACCTATGGCACGCGTGCCAGAGGCAGCACTCGGAGCCCTCTCTGTGGGCACAAGCACTGTTGCCCCAGCCCTGCCCCATGGCCCCCTCACCAACAGCCCCCCCGGAGGAGTCACCCCCGGCCGCGGCCCACGCAAACCAGCACAGCCAAGGACATGGTAGCCGGGCAGCGGGGACAAGACTGCCCTTGCGCCCCGTCACGTACAGATGATGCTGTGGAGGGCATGGTCGCCATGGTGCTGCTGGGCCGCTTTAGCTTGGGTGATCTGTGGCGGGCCGTGTAGATGGTGGGTGACTCAGCGGGCAGGGTGGAGCGGGAATGGGGGTGGGGGTGATTTTTGGGCACTCGGTCTCTAAAAGGTTCACCATCACCGCCTTAAGGTAAAATGGGTGGCCAATAAATGTTACAAACAAACAAATAAATTACAAACCACTTCCTGACATCATTTGGATTTGTCTTTACCCTGTCTGTTCTGACATTGGAAAGGAACTTAGATAACAATATCCAATTATTAATTTTGCACTCTGAACTGTCAAAACAACTGCATCTCAATCTGTAAATTACATATAATATTGACATAACAAAGCAACTTTTTGAAAGATCTGCAATGAACTGTTTTGCAAATCTGCTCACTTTGGAGATGGTTTTAGCAGAGGTCACCCAGATCTTGCCTCAGCAAGTCCAAATGTTTCTTCTGTTTCTCAGCAATGCTTTTGCAGTTGGAACTGCTGGGTTTAAGATTGGATTTCTTTAAATAGTCTTTTTCTGCTTTGTAAGAGTATCTTCATTTTCAAAGCTTGACAGTTACTGAAGCAGAAAGAGGTTCATTATTGTTGCAAGAAGACAAAACTATCTGACAAGTTGTAAAATCAGAATATTTTCTCAGCTATGGAACTGTCTTCAATAAGCTAATTGAAGGCTAATGAATCAATCATCCTTTGGGGCTTTACTAAGAACTTCGCAATTAAAAAAGAGCAATGAATCAACTGAAAGAACATCCAATCTTCTACACCAGTTTTATTCACTGCTTCTTTATCTTAACATCTGTAAATTTGATATAAATAGTACACGCACAGTCAAATTTACAGAAAGATGTCACACTCAACTTATGTTCGACAGAAAATAAAGGTTGTGCCAACTTCCACTCAGTTAGAAATTCAATGAAATATTTACAGCAGAATATTTAAACTTTTTCATGCAACTAATTAAAGGTTTTACATATTGCATTGCATATTGCACAATGACATTATCAACCTTTATGCTAAAACTTAAAAACCAAAAAATAAACACTTCATCTAAAAATGTAAGTATCCTAGAGAAACAATCCAATTAAAAATAAATATAAAATATAAAGTGGAGCACGCATTGCGAAAATGAATTTTAAAAAGTGCTTCTGATCCCACATGAGCCTTCTGTTTGTTTAAAAAACCTGTTGTTTTACAGGTTTTCAAACTGCTTGCCAAATATTTTTTTTTTCAGGATTGCTCAGAATCCTAAAGAATAAGAAGCTTTTATAATAGTTGCTGTGCAACTATTATATGTAAGCTTCAGGCATTATCTTTAATCATATAATTGTTTTTCTTCTACGATGTGGAACAAAATTCTGCAATTCAGATATAACATAAATGTAAAATACAATCAAGCTACACTATAAAATTATATACAAAATTTTAAAAAACCCTGAGCTACACTAAGAGCAATATTGAATGGGTTTATATTTTATTTTCCCAGATAAAAGTTCTTTTCTCAATTAACTGACACTCTGACTCCCTTATGTAAATATTCAAAGAATGTGCCAGGCTGCTGATGCACCAATGTTTGTTATCAGATTTCTCTTCCAAGTATGTTCTCTATTATTTTAATTTTCTGCTTATCATAACAAAATAGAAATCCTGAAAAAAATGCTAATAGTAAACCAGAAAAAAGCACATTTGTATTTCTTCATAATATTACTTTGAAATCTAAGATCAGATCTATAGTGAACCTTTTCTTATTTAAATAACAAATGGTGACTTTTTCTAGCTATTTTTCTCAGACAAAATTCCCCAGAACCATGTTATGATTCAAAATGGAATATAGAATGTGAGTTTATTCTAATGCTGAATTATAATTTAAAAGATGTAAAAACAAACAAACTCTGGAAATTCTAAAGAAAGTGTGGGCAAACTGTGCTACCTCAAGTATTGTTGACCTCTCATCATCCCCAAACACTGAGGCAAGAGATTAATCCCACAACACATATCGCTACACACTGCCATACTCCAGAGTAAAGACAGAAGTCATATGCCAAGTTTTCATCTACAATATCATTCATACTCCTTTATTAGTTTCAGTTTATACTGTAAATGTTGGAATCCAAAGAAACTGCAGGACACCAGTTGATCTTCATCTGTCCAAGTGGATATTTTTTCACAATACTTTATTAAAAAGAACTGCAAACTGTTGCTATAAATAGGGTGGACCCTTATGCAACAGTTGTTTACAGAGCATGTATAGGCAGTCCCTGATTTATGACTATAATGAAGTCCAGAATCATAGCTGTTAAGTCATGCTGGTCACTAAGCAGGTCGCCACTTGACCACGCTTGATCTTATGACTTTTTGATGTGGTCATGAAATAAACACTGTGGTTGCTAAGCAAACACAACTCTTAAGCAAATTTAGCCAATGGGCATTTTTGTCAGAAATCAGAAGTAGAGTAGAGTAGAGTAGAGTAGAGTAGAGTAGAGTAGAGTAGGAATAGAAAATTTATTGTCACTTTAAATGTACACTAATTAGCATACATTAAAGTGAAATTTCATTGCATTCAGCTCTCAAAAAAAATGGAAAGAAGTTTGTAATTTATTTATTTTATATGCTGCCCATCTCACTGCTGAAGCAACTCTGAGTGGCTTACAATAAAAAGATAAATAAAAATAAATAAAACAATAAAAATCATGGTCACGTGACCACAGGAGGATGCAAACGGCCATAAACATAGGCCAGTTGTCAAACAGTCAAAATACAATCACATGGCTGCAAGTGGTGAGGGTGGCAGTCAAAACTTCAAAACCTGGTCATAAGTAGTTCTCAGGAAATCCATCTTAACTTTGACTTGTTTTAAGCGACTGCTCATAAGCCAAGAATTACCTACAGTGTCAAGCTGCCTAAATTATAGGCAAGATACATTGCATTTCCTAAAGAAAATATCAGTATTTAATTTCCCTGAGAATTATTCTTGCATACAGTATTCTACTGTGAAATCGCATATTATGAGGATATAGTCATTGGGTTTATCTGATAAAATTTTAAAAATCCAGGTAAAATCTGCTAAAATCCAACCTACAGCAAAACCTAACCCAAAAGTGGCTAAAAGTAAAGGTTATATAGAGATCAAAAATCAGAACAATAAGGTGCACATGTATTGCTCATATTTGTTCAGAAGCATGGCTTATCAGGAAGAAGCAAGTCTCCTGTGTACACTATTTGATCATCCTGACTCCTCTCTACCTGCCAGGCTAAGCAACTAATCAAACTCAGATGGCTATGTTTATAATTTGTTTTGCGTTATATATAAACACAGGCTTCTGGTTTATTCAAAACTTCAAAGCAAAAACGGATTTATGATTCTAACTTGCTTGGGCATGATAAGCTAGAATTCTAAATAAATGCACTTAATCATGATCAAGTAAACAGAATGATAATGTCCCTGGTTCTATAACCCGGATTCCCAGGTGTTAAATTTCTTTTATTTTCCTCTTCCCCAAATTATCGTTTCGGAAAGAAAACAATACATTGCGCAGCTGTGCTGATTTTGACACTTATATTTTACCTCAGACTAATTCAAAGTTAGAAATGTGATATAAAATTAATGTGGTGTAAATAAAATATTGGAAAAGGAATTGAGACATATCTGCAAAAAGTGGGAAAAAAGCATCAGAGTACAATTCCTCATAGCAATTAAGCTGTATGTAGTGTGCTCAGGCACCTAATTTTAATGAATTTTAATGAAATAATTTAATTATTTCATGAAATTTAACTTGATTTCTGGCCTACAGAAGTAATTCCAGAGAAGATTTATCAGGAAAAAGAGGAAGAGCGCGGGAGAAAAAGAAATTGCATATTTGAAATTATCCTAAAAGGAAAATGTAGTATCAAATCAATGTTGTTGACATTTACCAATAATTGCAGTTTTCATACAATTTTTCATCTATGTTCTTCTCAAGGATCAGAAATTAGATGGTTTGTTGATTTGGTCATTGAAAGAACTATTTTTTCTTCTTAAGCATTTAACAGTTTTCTGCAAATCAGCCACAGCTGTGATATTCTTGTACCTATGAACAATAAACACTCATCTGCTTTCAAGTGTGCTGAAAATATATTCAAATAATATAATAATCAATCTATTCAAGTCCAAGACAACTTTTCAAATGGTTTAAATTTGAAACCAGTCTTCAACTATAGTTCAGCAAGCACCAAATGAAACTGCTTGTCTAAATTGTGAGTTTCTTTTTAAAAAAGAGTTATGCGTGCAATTCAACATTATCTATTAAAATAGTACTGGTACCAAAAAACCCCAGTTTTGCTCTGAAATAGAAGCAGTATATGGTTTTCATCAAGCGGTTAACTTAATCTTAACTTAAACTTGGTTTAACGTAATTTAAACTTGAAATTCAAACCACCATGAATTTTAAAAAATCCACAGAATATGTTAGGTTACAATCACAAGCCAGAAATGTTTCAGATTTTAAAAGATAAAATCAATATGCAATATAAAAACATATATTTTATAAAAAACACATGTTTTTGAAATAATACTGAAAGATTTCCCTAAATGATATTGTTCTAAATGTAAAAACAATCTTTATAAATTTCCTTTATAAAGCCAATACAATTCAAAAAAATGCATGAAGTAATTTACATCCTGAAAGGCAAAAAAGTGATTTGATAAAATGACTTTAGGATGTTAGCTTCAATTTAAGTATCAAAATGAGTTTTTGCTTTTAAAATCAATCACTCAATCTGGTGAGTGGATCTCTTAGTGAAAACTGTTGCCTTATCTATTTAAAATCTTGTAGGCTGCTAAATAGCAGTGACAACATATATAAGAATAATTATAAGTTTAAACATATCTGAATTACAGAATTCAATATAAACTTGTTTCTTGCTAAATAAATATGGTCTTGGATTACATATGTAAAACTGCTGAATTAAATTGGTACTATCAGAAATTCTAAAAATCATTTTGCCTTTCCTAACATACAAAGTAGTCCCAAAGATGAAAGTGTGAGAGGTAATAACCACATCCACTTTTTATACTAACATCAAGGGGAACATGGAAGTTACTAATTTGTTCTTTCAATAAAAGAATCAGGAAGTAGAAAAGGGTGAACTCCTGTCACTTCAATATCTTTTAGAGATTCTAACTGATTAAGGAAGAAGAATTTTCCTTCTAGACCAACTTCATATATCTGTATCTCCATTACTGAACTCAGGCCTGTGCACCACAAATAACAAAACTGGAACGAGAATGAGGTCAATTTAATAAGTAATGTTTTCTGATCTGCACCTGTCAAAATGACAAATATCATATTTGTATAATTGATCTACATCACTCCTAATTTACAAATTGAAAGATTTTATTATTCAAATAAACGTGTAAGATAATAGATGGGTTTTTTTAAAAAAAATATTTCTATATTAAATGAAAAAAATCACTAAAATGTGATTAAATAAATCTCCAAACATGAAAGCGCCCTTTAAAAAGAATTTCCTCCTATAACATTTATATTAAAACAGATTCACATAAGGCTCCTTAACTGCAATGATAGGAGATTAAAAACTGTTATTTTTCCACTAGATAAAATTTAAATGCCTAATAAAGAAAGCAGTTTTTCAAATTAGTTCTAGGGTAAATATAAAAACTTGAAAACTAGAAATCTGATTAACAAACAAAAAAGCAGAATCCATGGTTACCATATTTACACATACTCTTTGTTGTGTTTCAATGCCACATGATCTGATTCAAAGTAATACACGTCAGGTTCTTCCTCCTCTTCTTCTACAGAATGAAGACTGGCACTTTCTTTGGCAGATGGTAGGGATGGAGTAACAAGTCTATTGTCTGAAGTTGATTTACTTAGTCCTTCCTCTGGGTGTTCTCTGGAATCACAGTAACTTTCCCTTTCACTTGGAGCAATTTCTGTGTTTGCACCAGATCCACTGATATTAATAACACTTGATTCTATATTCTTTTCAGGGACAGTATGATTGTTTTCCTCAAGCTGTCCATTCTCTTTACATGGAGAGTTATGTTTAATAGGGCTAATTTTTGTTGAGCCTGCCCTCCATGGTGATGTTCTCAAGGTGTACCTATGTTCTTGAGATTCTGATGTTGATGAAATTGGAGCTGAAACACAGTCCAAAACTGGTGGTTCAGGTTCACTTGAAGCAGTTGTACTATCGTAACTGTCCAGATTGCTGTTGGTGTTTTCAGACTGCTCTTTTGTGGCAGTGCTATAACCCACCACGTCTACTTCTTCCTCAGAATCCCTTAACAAAGATGACTGGGTTTCATAAAAGGATCCTTTACCCGTACCAGACTCATGTGTCTGGTTAACAGTTTCCTCAGACAAACAGTTCTTTACTTGTTTATGGTCCTCACAGGTTAACTGTTCTTGTGAATTTGTGCAAGGCACACTGTGGTCTATAAAACTGTCCTCCTTGTTTCTGCTATGAAAAAATGATGATGTATTTCCATTTTTTGCTATACTTTTTTCCTCAGATGAACAGGAATCAGCACTGTTCTGTGCAGTGGGTCCATCCAATTGACAGTCACAACACTTTGTAGCACTTGAGCCATTCCCATTAACCCCATTGACAGATTGACAACTTATGAGTTCTTCGGTTACTGAAGAATGATTTAATTTTTCTGCACAAACAGTTACCTTTTTAACCTCCCTTTTATCATTATTGTCCAATGTAAGACATCGGCAAGCTCGTTTAGGCCCTGGATTGACCGTAACATTGTCTGATACTGAATTTTTATGTTCCAACCGATCTTTCCCTGTTTTAGAAGGTAGCACTTCTTCTGAACTATGTTGGGCCTCTGAGCGTAAGCAACGCTTAATTCTCTTTAAAACTGGTGAAAGAGGTTCCACTTGTTTCTTCTCACAATTTTCCACAATTTGTTTCTCAACATTATCCTTTTCTGAAGTTGAGAGGCCTCTTTTTCTAGGGCTTACCCATGATTCTTTAGAACTGTGCTGCTTGACATCATTAGCTTTCCCATTGCTATTTGCCTTCTGAGTCTGCAGAGAGTCTGATTTCTTCTTTGGTGATCTTGATCTTACTTGTGGAAGAGAAGGAACCTCCTCTGGATGAGCTATGCTACGGTTTCTTAATGTTCGGCCACAAAAGTTTTCATCCAAACCATTTAACCCCACTGTTGATCTTGTAACACGAGTAGATCGAGAAGCAGCCATACTATGGCAAGTCCCTAAAGTATGTTCCTCATGATCCACTCATTCGAAAACCTTCAAAGAAAAGTGAACAAAACAATGAGAAAAGCATTATAGAAATTATATAGTAACTGTATAACTGTACTTCTATCTAGCATAGTAGTTTCCTTATTCTGATAACACGACAAATGATATATAATTTTATAGTACAAAAAATTCTATATTAGCGCTCATATTTATACATAACAGATTAGCTCTGGCAATAGGTTTCATAGTAAGTCATGATTTCTATAAAGTAGTTCTGAAATAATAAGATAAAAAATTCTGCTATCGATGAATAATTCAGTACAATTGCATTTAAGAAATGGTGCAATGTCCTATCAAGCAATGATAGCAATAACTTATAAATTTTAAAACATTAAAATTTAGAAAACCTAGAGATCTGGTAGACTAAAATGAAAGGATAAATCCTCATCTAATTTTCAGCAGTGCACTGCTAAAATATAACAATGATAACCATCAACATTTTAATTAATCTTATTCTGAAAAAGACAAGGTGAAAGACTTCATATTAATCTGGTGTTGATTTGTCTAATCCAATTTTATATTGACCAAAGGTTATTTATACAGATTACATGTTAGTCCATAATTGTATTTGTATTTTTTGTTTGCAGTAATACTGTTGTCAGTACTATTCTTTCTAATAAACAAAATATTGCTTGAAAATATTTATGAAAAACAGATCTTGAAGAGAAATATGATTTAAAAATAAAAATAAAAGAAATTATACTATGATTTTAATTAACAAATATTGCAGTAGAAAGTCTTCTTTCACAAGCTGTAAGATGAAACTAGTATAAACACACTGAACAATGGATCAGATTATCATCAATTCACCAGTAAGAATTTTAAGTACTTTGGAACTAAAATAGAAGATATGTATTATACTTACTGGAAACTAAATTTGTGGGGTTTTGCTGATCAGGCACAAATAAAGCTGGAACTGGGAAAGCAGTCAGAGAGTTTTTTAAAAAGCATATTTAAAATTGTTTTCCACTTTTTAATTAAAAAGACAGGCTAGTGGAAAGTTAAAATGCATAATATTTCTGTAATGGGGTCAATACTTGCAGCATTTAACAAGATGTAAAATTGGAATATACTTGTCTCCAAGAGACAAAGAAAAACAATAGCAAAAAAAAGTCAATGAAAAGGAATTAAATTTAATTAAATTCTTTACAGATAAAAGGAACAAAATTTTGTTTTGACTGATTCTTTTGAGAGAGATCAATTCAACAAGAACATTTTTGAAAGCAGGCTCTGTCAGGTATTTTATATGAGAGGAGGAAATATCTAAATAACCGAATAAGCTCAAAACGTTAACTAAAGACTTTGGGTTCTGTTATGAAATGCAATTTTCACAGCCAACCAACTTAAATGAGAATCAACTAGCACATGAATTTGAATTAATTATGTATGTGACATAATCTGTGTCGCATACTACATCAAATTCCCCAATCACTCTTATCCTAGATAGGAAGAAGCTTTGCTTTCTTTTAGGGGAGATTGCAGAGAAAAACTCTTGAAAGAAAAGTGGCAAAAAGGGATGGGAAAGCAAGAGCGCTATCAACATTCTCAAGCCTTCAATTAATTTTCTGGAAAAACAGAATTTCCAGATTACAACTGAAGCAGAAAGAGAACTGGATTCCACAACCTCTGAAGAACAGGACAAGAGTTAGATAAAAACCATGTTAAGTTTAATTGTTGTGCATTGTGGATGTCAGTTAATATTGTCACTTTATAAATTTATGAAAATGTGGCATTCAACTTGTAGCTTTAATTACTAAATCAAGTCTGGGCTGCATAAAATATACTGCAGTTACAGGGTGTTTTTTTAATAACACAAATATCATTTGGGAATCTAAATCCTGTCTTGCTAGTATTGTGCCAGCACCATCTTGTGGTTTATGGGGGCAAAGCATTAGATATTATATTCTTTTCCATCTTCATAACTCTGGACTCTTTTCCTACATTTGAAATTGGATCGCTAAACGATATTTCCCCTTAATATTATTTTAACATATCCATTTAAAAGCTCATGCATTAGAATGTTTTCTCTTTCTTTTAAATAGAGTTTAATTTTGCTTATCTCCTATGAGACATGTTTATCTCTCAAAAGGAGGAAGGGAAGAACTGCTGATACTATTTAATATCTTTTATCTATTAAGTGCCAAAAAGGACCATGGAATCAGAGCTCTATTTCCCTCAAATACTAGAGCTGTGGAGAGCATGCCAAGTGAGATGTTCCTTAGAAGGTAAGTGATGGCAGCAACGACTATAAAGCTGCTACCCCAAAAGCCAGGCCAGAATGTAAAAATTTGAAAAATGTTTTCTGGCACAACATGTTTGAGACTGCCACCTTATTACTGGACAGAATTGGAAAAGACTAAAGTTCCCTTACAAACTATTGATTTTTTGTATTATTTTGTGCCACCAAGCAACCATATAGATTTTTTTTTCATGAACAAACTGCTGAACTATTTATCAAATAAGTAATGAAGCATACTTAAATTTTGAAATCAGAATGGTCAATAAAATCACTAAGAATGCGCAATTATCATGCCAGCTAAGCACAGCACTTGCAGCAAACATTAGATCAGCGCTTCCCAAAATTTTTCCTTCATTACCCAAAATCACTTCTCAGAAAGTCCTCTTTATTCAGTGTAGGTAAAATACTTTAGGACAATTTAAATATGACTATTGTGATTGGGTAATGGGTTTGTATGTTGTTATTCAAAGAAAAACCCTCTTTTATCCAACGTTGGGTACTTTACCCAAGTTTGGGAAATGCTATGTTAGATGAATATTCTTCAGTGCAGTAATCTTTCCCATTTAATACTCCATTCCAAGCAAATGCTTTCATAAGAAGGGAAGAAACATATTTTATTTTACAAAATATGACTTCTTTGGGGGAGTCTGGATACAACAATGTATTTTTTAATATACTGTGTCTTATCTTTCCAGTACTTCCAGTTCTGCTCCTTCATTTACCACCTTAGTAAAACATCTTATACAAGGAATACTTCTGTTTAATACTTATTTTGCTGTCTGAATAGGTATCCCACGGCTCCTCCTGTATGGTTAGAACACATTCCCTGAAAGTAACTAAACCAGAATTCAACAATTTCCCCTAAGATTATTTGCAAAATATTTTTATGATCTTAGATAGTTTATACATCTAAGTTTATATATACTCTCCTGTAATGATTCACTTTATATTTATTTGATCCTCTCTTCATCTTTTAAAAAAGATATACAGACAGAAGAATCTAAATTTGCTAAACTGAAATGGTCTTTTATTTTTGATGAAAATCTTCCAGGAAATTCAAGAGTGATATAAAATATATTACTGACTTTATTTATTTAAACTGATATTCAGTAATTTACAATAAGCAATAATGTCTCCAAAATCTGATTTCATATATCATTTTGCATTGTTTTCTAGTAAAATGGAGTACCATTTACATAGGATAGCATAAGCCAATTTTTAAAATATCAAAAGAATTGCCACAAAAATTGGACATAAGGTATGTTACAAAACTTTTTTAAAAGGTAATATGGAGAAGGCCTGGGGAGACTCAGATGAGTAAATGGAGAAGTTTAATCAATCCTGAATCTGCTTGGTACCTGATTTTACAATTATTTCTCATTTCTGATTTCTAAGAGAGGCATATTTTAAAATGATATTGCACTTTAAAGTAAACAATACTTTATTGGTCATTTCACTTTTGGCCATACTGGCTACAAAATAAAATGCTATTTCACGGTATTTGAACTATGTGTGCCTCAAGGGCGAAGATAGAAAGACCAACAGAGTTTGTGACAGCACGATATGAATAAGATACCAGTTGCAAGCAAAACTGGGGAATAATCTACATTTCCCAGTTGATAATGATTGATAATAAAAGCATTATGAAAGAATTGTACTCAGGTCCTCTAACATTATACGAAAGCTTCTAAAAACAGAACCAGTGGCTGTCTCTGCTTCGATTCTCTTTTTGAGATACTTTTCAAAGCTTGTACTATTTCCTGATGATAAAAGAGAATGCCCAAGATTTTTTAAATAAAAGACAGCCAAGAAAAAAAAGTGTTAGCTGAAGCTAGAATCAATTAATCATGTTCAGGTTTAATGAATACTAAATAATATCCATAAGATATAATGCATATGAACTTAGAGAGGGTGAGTGTGTGTGTGTGTGTGTGAGTGAGTGAGTGAGTGAGTGAGAGAGAGAGAGAGAGAGAGAGAGAGAGAGAGAGAGAGAGAGAGAGAGAGTATACATCCACTTGTCTCTGATGCAAATACTGTGATTTTCTTAATGAGTTAATTTAGCTGCTCAAAACCAGTTGTCCGGTAACAAGTTTTCAATTATCATTACATAAGATGCAACATAAAAAGATGCAGGCAAAGTCATCAAATGTTTTTAGGGCATCAGCTCTATGCAGCCAGTGTTGTTCCCTAGACAACTAGGGGTAGAATCTCTACGGTATCTGCAGGAAATCTCCAGGGTAATCAATGAAAGAAATAGGAGCTTCTTTGTGAAACTAAGCTACAGCTTTATAAAATTATAAAGCTTAAATATATATAGTCTTGTTCTTCAACTACTAACAAACACATTGAGAAAAGTTTCCAAGCACAAACTATTTAAGACAGAAAACAACCAAAGGTCAAGGATAGAGGCAAACAGATCTTCCACAGTAAGTACCTATCAATCAATATTTAGATAAGCAGGCACCAGCACCAGATAAACAAGACCAATCAAGGAAGAAGCAATCAAAGTTGGTAGGGGAATCTATCACATATAAACAGCCAACAAGCTCTATTCCTCCATGCTCTGTTGATGTTAGCTAGACTGATTAATAAAATGTCTATGGGAAGAGAAGCAAGCTCAAAAACCAAGACACCCCCCAAAAAATTAATTATTAATGAACTGCCCACATTATCCCATTTATAAAAGTAACTGATTTCCTTCTGCATATATCAGCCATTCTCTCTTACACATTTAACCACACATA